AGTTGAAGTCCACTCATCTTAAAGTGGCCAAGTTTGGACGACACTGTGCTAAGCCATAAACCATAATTTACAAAACATAATAGATGGGTTTACTATTTGAAGGCAAAGTCAAATAAGCCACATTATGGCTTAGCATAGAGTGGGAACCGGCCTCCATGCTCAGCATGATGGCTGGGGAATTCTGGGAGTTGAAGTCCACTCATCTTAAAGTGGCCAAGTTTGGACGACACTAGCTTAGCAGATAATGCCAAATCAGCCAATTGTAGTTTATGCATTAAATCATGGTTGAAGCCACAGCTGATCACAGTGTACAAATATATCTATGGATGTGCATGAAAGAGGATAACCTCCTGCCTTGCTGTCCATCCGATATCATAAGCACTGATCGCCCACAATCATATTGTGATCAGTTTGCTGATCTACATTTTAAAAGCCATCTTTCCTGAATGGGTGCTCCAAGGCCGCCGTGAACCACAGGAAAAAGAACAGCTAAATAAAACAGCAGAGAAAACGGAGCCAGGCAATTCTGTAAAGACAGAGACAGAGAAGCAGATAAGTTTAAAAGGTATTTTCAGCCTCCAAATACCTGAGCCCTGCCGTTCTGACCTGTTGCCTGAAAATCAAAATGGGGGTGGGTGGGGTGTTTCAGGTTTTGTCAGATTTTGAAACTGAGGACAGAAGCTACCTGTAAATTGAAAGAGGCCAGGGAAAGAAAATCCAGCGAAGCAACTGTGAACCGAAATCAGACAAGTTAGAGTCAGGCAGAAGTCAAGATCTAACTCAACGGAAGAGCTGGACTTCCAGTCTTCTTTGAATCAAGCTCAGCTCTGGCACACATGTGCCATTTTGTGCCAACTGTATGGGAGTGGTTTGCTATTGTCTGCTTCTGGCATACATTCCAAATTCTCTTCTGGTTGCTAGTCCTGGGATATTCTGGTAGCCTCAGGGAGTTGACATGCTCTCCACTAAAGAGCTAAGGCAGGGTTCCTCAACCTTGGCAACCTGAAGATGTGTGGACTTCAACTCCTAGAATTCCTGAGCCAGCCATGCTGGCTGGGGAATTCTGGAAGTTGAAGTCCACACATCTTCAAGTCACCAAGGTTGAGGAATCCTGAGCTAAGGGATATGGGATGGAGATCCAATGCAATTTGGAAAACCCCAGACTGGGGAAGGGTGGGTTCAAAACACAACCTGCTTAGGTTGTGGAACAGCCTCTTCAGCTGGTATTTTGGGGGTCTCCTGGCCATGGTCAAGCAGATTGTGATGATAATCATGTAAGTTTTAAGAAGGAATGAGGAGCTTCAGGGAGGATAAAACTACCAGTTGCTCCTAGGTGTGATCCTGAGTTGAACTTTTATTTTCAGAGGCAGCGTAGCTGTGAATGCCAGAACTGAAAGATCAACTATCAGCTGTGATTTTTACGATCTACAGTATTTCTGATTTTCTGGAAAGCTTTCGGCTGGGTTGTATTAGAAAACATTTCCCGGCCTAGACTTTTCCTCTAAGCTTTTCCTGTTGTAAAAGTAACTAAAGAGTCTGTGACCCAAAGCAACTGTGAAACAAGTTCTGCAACTGTGAACCAAATTGGTTGTTTTCTTGGTGTGTAACAAGACAGAAGAAAAGACATTCCTGACAGAAGCTTAGAAGCCTGGAAAGTTGTGAAGGAAAAAAAAAAATCCAGAGATGGGATTCTGTTGGAAGTTGCTGGTGAGTAAAATCTTCATAGGAGAGAGGTTTTAATTTTTCGGATTATGCAGCAAAGGAAGTTCTGTTACCAGTAACTTTGCAGGAATCAGAAACCAGGTACAGCCATATTAAATGAGGACCAGGGTCCTTGATGCATTTGGAGATCCCCTTATTGTGCCCCAGAGGTAAAAATTGATTTAATTCATATTCCAAAAGAAGGAAAGGTAGCATCTCCTACAGGACAAACCCAGCTTCTGGTGATTTGGGGGAGATATCTGTGGAGTTTTTTGGCAGCATCATGGAAAGGGTTTGGTGTTGCCTTTTTTCAGGGTGTTTGATTTTTCATTCTAGTTTACAGCTTTGGGCTTTTCCTAGTGGTCTCCCATCCAAGTACTAGCCAAGCAGGTGTTAGTCTGGTGCTGCTATCTGCTGAACCTATTTAAAAGTAATTAATATTAAACTAATAACATACAGTTAATAGGATTGCTTCCCATGCATTTAATAATTTCCCCCAGGAGTTGCATTCAAGATTTGGGGGTTGTTCAGCACTGGATTAAACTATGGGGTGAACCACAATGTGACTGTTAAATTGGATGAAGGAAGCAGCAATAGTTATTTTTCTTCAAAGATTAATGAATTCATACCACTAGTAGAAACAACTTTTTTAATTTTACCCAATTTGGAATCTATGGTTTGTCTCACACTCTAAACCATAAATCATGGTTTATGTACCACTTCACCTGGAATTGTGCGAAGCTCAAACTAACCAGCCATATTACGGCTGAAAAATTTAGGCTACACTTTATTCTGAGCCATCAAGTGATTTATTTTGGTACAGCATGATGTTATGGCCAACCCACTCTGACTTATAAATTGCAATTTATGGCTTGGGGTCCTGTGAACGAAGCTAGTTGTGTCTTATTCAAGGTTAAAATGAATCAGGGCTTAATGCAATACCTAAACCCCAGCCGATATGATACACAAACCATGTCACAGACTGAGTTCACATATCAATTTGGTTTTGGGAATCATGGTTTACAGCAGTGTTTTTCAACCTCAGCACTTTTAAGATTGTGGACTTCAACTCCCAGAATCCTCCAGCCAGCATGGAGGTTGAGAAACATAGGTTTAAGGAACAAGCTATCACACCTCTGTCCACACAATCTTAAATCAAGACCAAAATTATATTTTAGCATAAAGTAGGATTTGAACTATGAGTGAATTTCTTACATGCTTCATTAGAGTCAAGGTACCGTATCTGCCATTGAAACTTTTATTGATGACAGAATATGTTATTGGAATTCATTTCAGGCCCTTTCCTTTTTGATGATCAGGCTATTTATTTGCATTTCAACATAGACTGGGATCCAAAAAGATGTAGAACATGTCTTCCAGAATGAAGACTCTCCACAGCCTGGGGATATGATTCAGTTCCAGATGTTTGGATTCCAGCATTGGGGTATCTACGTAGGAAATGGGGAAGTTGTGCATTTTGCATGGCCAGGTAATAGAGAAGGATTTATTATCTATTTCCTGCAGAGATGTCCTATTTTTTCCTTGGGAACTCAAGGTGGGGACATGGGAGACTTTTCTCCCCTCCTTTTCTGCCCATCACAACAAACCTGTAAGTTAGGTTCACCTGAGAAAAAAGTGATTGGCCCAAATATGCCCATTGCATTTTGAGGTCCTTAACCACTTCTAAGTCCTTAACCACTGCAGCATCTCTATTTTGTATACTGAAAAAATCAGGAGCAATATTTTCAAATGCTAGAGGCCCCTCCAAATATTGGAAAAATTATGAACTGTCCTGAAATATTCAGAGATTGTAAAATCTCCTGCGATTGGGGCAATCCTGTGAGAGATCAGCATGCTTACCCTGGATTTCATGAGATCTCATAGAAGAACAGGGTAATGTGACATTTGATGGTCTTGCGCATTTGGGCCATTTAATTTTTTTTTTAATTTAATAAAAAATTGGGATGTGTGTCTGAGGATGTCATGTTGCCAAGCTGTATTTTTAGTGTAATAACCCAAAGAGCATACTTATCGGTACTTGCTGTTTATGAAATTTGACAAAGTTTACATGAAGTGCAAGGCAGCAAAATTATCTATTCTTGTTTAGAAAAAATTAATTACAATTGCAGCAACTCTACGTGGGAGATCTGCTCCAAAAATTAGTTTGGAATGACACTCGTGTCTCTGATAGTGATGGAAACACAATCATTTCTGAAGCCAAACATCTCATCTTCTCTCTTTTCAGTTGTTCAATTGTTTCCACCAAAATTTAAGGTCTACAGAGAAAAAATGATGGATGTCCCAGGAGCAATGAAATATGCCGTGTGGAACAAATTTGATCGAGATTACCCTCCCTTGGATCCTAACCACGTGGTGGATAGAGCTCTGCACATGGTGGGCAAAGTCTTTAAATACAGTATTGCTCGTGCTAACTGTGAGCACTTCACCACGTTGTTGAGATACAACGTTGCTCTGTCCGAACAGGTATGACCCTGTGTGGCACCTTTTATTTCCCAAGTTCCAATAAAGCCAAATAAAGAGACTTGAGAGGAGGCTTCTTTATAATAACAGATGTAT